ATGATTTTCTGCTGCTTTTCATTGTAGAAAAACATTTCTCTCTAAATCTCTCTATAATGTCCCCAAATGAATTCCATTTATAGATAATAGTTTTGTTTTCTGTTCGGATGCATAGCAATGTGTTTTCAGTGAAAATCTAGAATAATTTCAGGTGTAGTGATTCGATACACCTTGGAGACGTTACAGAATCACAGAAGAATAAGATGAAAGTGAAAACGATGTCATCTGTGAGAGCCCATCGACTTTGTTGATAAAGTATATGATGGTTGAGCCTCTTAAACCCCAGTGATTGTTAGTGTTGGGGCTGCAGCAAGCAGCTCATTTTAATGCTCGCTGATTGCTTAAGTTGTTCCACTGAGGGGACGCTGGAAGAGTTTTCTACAACAAAAAGAAAAAAAAACTGAAATCCCACATAACTACTGATGATGTGTCATTATTTCCTGGGACTGCTCGGCTCCAGCCCAGCTAGGTTTCAGCCCTCAGTGAGCCTCCAGTTGTGCTGAGTCGAGACGTCATTAACATCCTCACTGAATCGCTCCTGCTTGATCATCCTGAACAAAGTTCATTTGTTTCGCACACGACTCCCAGTAGCCAATATTATTCAGAGCTGCTGATCACAATGGGAAATGTGACAGAGATGTCACTCTTTTCCTGAGAATTGAAAATCGTATCAGTGTTTTTTTTTTCTTGTCGGCTGGTACATCAACTAATTTAACTTTTACTACGGGAGATCCACTTCCAGAGGAAACAAAGAGAAGTTGATTTGACACGTGTAAACTTCAGGTTCTAGTCATTATTTTCTGTTTGGCTGCAGCTCCTCTCTGCTGCTGAAGCTTTTATGTATTTGACTTGTTTGATAAAGATCCTTTGATGGCAGATTGTACACATGATCCTGCTTTCTGTTGCTGTCAGGGTTTTCTCCTGACACCAATGTGATGGYTTTGTTCATCGGCGGTGTTGATCAGGCGGCACTGTTTTTAGTCTGAGGCAGTGAAAGTCTGTGTGAGTGTAGGTGTTTATGCTCTCTTGAGAAAATACTTTTTTWAAATTTTCAATTGTTATGATGTAACCAGTCACAGACATCCTCAGGTTAGAGCTTCATCTTAAATAAACAGATCATTTTTTTGTGGTTGGTCTGGATAGAATATATGCGACCCAACACACTGAAACAAAGCTGAAGTCTCAAAGTGGAGAAATGCAGCATTTTCAACTAAAGAAATATCATTTCCTGCAGAAAACATCTGTAAAAAGCATAAATAGCACAAATTAGCAGAAAAAGCACAAGTGGAAGAATACCAGAAAGAAGCAGATCTCAACAGAAATAGCGCAAAAATGCTAAAATTAGCATAAAATAAGCTAAACGTAGCAGCCACAAGTTGAAACACACAGATAGTTAAAGTTTTGTAACAATAAAAATTGATATTAGTGAGGAAAAAATCATAAAAGTATAAAAAGGGAAAATTTGTAGAAAATAGCTACAACAGCTGAAATTTTCAGCAAAACAGCTAAAATGTTGCTGAGAATTCTTTAATTAGGATAAGGAAGCATGAGGAGCACAAGTTTGCTGACTTGGCAAAAATAAGTTGTAATAGCTACAAAAAATGTGTATTTTGCTAAAATCAACTAACTTTAGCTAATAACAGCTGAAGTTTAGCTAAAATTGCAGCAAATAGCTGTATATAGTAAGTAGCATAAATAGCACAAATTAGCAGAAAAAGCACAAGTAGAAGAATACCAGAAAGAAGCAGATCTCAACTAAAATTGCATAAAAAATGCTAAAATTAGCATAAAATAAGCTAAACGTAGCAGCCACAAGTTGTAACACAGATAGTTAAAGTTTTGTAAAAATGATATTAGTGGGGAAAAAAGTATAAAAGTATAAAAAGTGAAAATTTGTAGTAAAATAGCTACAACAGCTGAAATTTTGCTTCATCCTTTTTTTTCTCTTTTTAATTCCCAACAGGTGATGACTGCAGATTAAATGAATACCGTCGGCTGAAAACCAAGATTTTGGATTTGCATGACAAGCGATACATGGGCGCCACCTTCCATGGCACTCACAGGGACAGCATGGCTGCTAAGAAGCAACTGGTGGATTCAATGTTCAAACGCTTCGACGCAGATAACAGTGGACAAATCGATGCCAGCGAGCTCTCACAGGTGAGTAAAAGGCAATGATAATGATGAACTCTGATTTATGGTAACGTTCGTTTTATTTCTATTTGTTTTAAAACAGCAAAGTTTAGACTCACGAGTGTAGGTCCTCATCTTAATGAAGCTGGTAGATGTTCAGGGGTCACATTTATAAAACTGGCGTATGCACAATTTGAGCCCAGAAACTTGTGTACGCCACTTTTTACGCC